TCACGAACAGCTTGTAACACTCCAAAGAGAAAGGAAAACTTGAAATCGCATCATATGACCCCTTTAATCAAAGAGGGTTGAAAGTTGGCCAAGTCTTGCTGACTGTAGCAGTTTTTCTGTTCCTATAATGAGACAGTCGGCTTAGCAGGTGCTGCTCAATTCTACATATAGCACTGTGACCTTCAGCACCACCGCAGTCCCCTCTAGCACTTGTCATTAATCTCTTAATAAACACATCTGCTGCAATCAGAACATGATGTGCAATTTCGCAAGTGTACAGAAATGTCCTGAATTCTGAAATGTACAAAGCAGGCAATAAACTCTGGAAGTCAAGGCTGTTTAGTCCAGTCTGGTTTAACGGATTAGACCTGAGTGAATGAAGCCGAAACATCACTCGAGCGCTTCAGGATTAATTTAAGCTCAAATTGGACTCTACTGTAAGAGAAGGACTTTATTGTGACCTCATCCATGCGAAACCATAACATTATTATTGTAGTCACAGCACATTGATTTGAGTATTATTGAACAGTGCTTGACCAGCTGCCCAGACCACTAGTTGGTTTTACTGTCCATTTCTCATTTCAACAAGCATATTTTGCCCAAATTCAGCTAGAGACACTGCACTTCAGCTTAATTTCTAGCTCAGCGATCTTTAACAGGGGGTCTACCAATTGTTGTTTGATCTTTATGTATAGAGATTATTTTAATGGCTTTGTGGTGTAAATGTAATCGTACAAAGTATGTAAATACATTATTATGGTACATAATTTTAAGCCAGGCTAAAAATGCAACACTTTATGCGATATTTAACCGTGGGTCCTTGCTCTGTCTCTATCTGTCCACCAGGGATCGAGCTTAACTATTACTGGAATCCATATAAGTGAAATTGTTGAATCAGTTGAAATTGACACACTAGCACCACAACTGTAAAGCTCCTTTCAAAATGTCTATTACTGTTACTGAATGAGAATGACAGCCCATGTTCTCTGTAGGTGGTTGGTGTGAAATTTAAGAGAGTGAAAGTGACAGTGTCTTTTTTTCCCTTGTCTAGGAGTGTGCCGGGGAGCCCCTCTTCTCTCTATTCTGTGCCATAAAGCAACAAATGGAAAAAGGCCCCATCGACTCTATCACCGGAGAAGCCCGCTACTCACTCAGTGAAGACAAGCTCATCAGACAGCAAATTGATTACAAGACTCTGGTAAGGCTCTGAACCACAGTGTGGATGAAGAAAGGAAAGAGGAACCGTTTTAGAAGGATAGAGAATGAGAGGAGTAAACTAAAATAGGAATGAAGAAAAAGACGAGGATAAATGGGTGAGAAAGAGGCTAAGGAGCATGAAAGCATTCAGAAGAAGACAGGTGTGGAGGTAGAGAGAAGGTTAAGGTAATTTGTTTGGGTTGACGCAGCATGCAGTGCCCACAGTCTTCACGCCTGACAGGGAACACACAGGTTTGTTATGACCTTTGACCTGTCTGCTGTCCTGTGGTGATTGGCAGTGTTGTGTTTGGCTGGTCACTGTGACAGGCATGAGCTAAGCCTGTGTTGTCAGGGCCGCATGTATGCCAGGACGGGCTGTTTACTGGTACAGCACGTCAGGAGGGTAATCTGTATTCTGTGTGAGACTAAGAGAAGAAAAAGTAAGAGGAGGAATGTGGCGACTAGTGTCATCTCTTGGCATCCAACCCATTCCTTTGAACGCCACACTGATTTAATGACTGTAGGAGCCGTTTCAGCTTCATCATTCTGTCCTCACTTCCAAAACACTTAAATGGCTTCAGACTCGCCACAATACAAGCCACTACCAATAGCACATTCTGCCTTCCCTGGCAAGATATGGAGGGCATTTCCCGGTTACATTATCGATCATTTTTTACGCAATAATGCATGAGAGGTTGTTTTATATTGACCAATCAGCATACTGCTGGACTGTAAGTAAATGAGCTCTTTTGCAGTGTGTGGGTATTTTATCATAACAGATACCAACAAGGGTTTTCGCAGCCTTTATATACCAACTTGAGCTATGTAATTACATCTGATGATGATGACGATGGTACTGGTGGTGGCGTTAATGACAGTTATCATGGGAGACAGAGAATCTAACAGGTACAAAGATTATTAGTGTGTTAATTGCATACTTTTGCAGGCTGAGGTGAGTGAAGTGACGGCTCCCTCAGGGTGGCCAATGGGCTTTTACGTTTGCACCGTTACACCTGCTGACTACGTTCACTCATTCAGTAGCACACCTTAAAGGTTTGACTGGATGACTGTCATCCATCAGAGTACAATCTTTTAGGTGTTAAGCATAGATCCTAGAACAGCCACTCTGAGATATGTTGTGAACACAGGCCTCAGTAGATATACTGTACATGTTACAAGCTTTCTGTATGGCTTGATTAAACCTTTTAACATAATTTTTTTTCTATTGGTTATTCGGCTCACATACACGGATGCATTTTAGCATTCTTTAAACTCTCAATACATTTTAAATCATGCAGAAAGATCATTTTACAGCCACATAAATATTCATGTGTCTCCCACACGTTTGCTAATTGGTGTAATTTTGTTCTGTCATGTAGGTGGTAAACTGCTTGCATCCAGACAATGAGAAGAGCCCAGAGGTGCAGGTGAAGGTGCTGAACTGTGACTCCATCAGCCAGGTGAAGGAGAAGATCTTGGATGCCATCTACAAGAACGTCCCCTACTCGCACCGACAAAAAGCCTCTGACATGGACCTAGGTATGACCAGCATTATGCTAACATTAGCTGCCTTTACCCTTTAAGAACTGTTTTCCTCATCAGCCCTTCATTTGTCCTGGTGAAGAGATTCAATGTGTGAATCAGTGACATTGACATTTGTAGAATGATGGGTCAAATTAAGGTGATTGGTACTTATTATATCAATATTGGCCTAACTTAAAATCTATTATTTGTAATTTAGCAAACAGGGTGCTAGGGCATAATCGTGATAGAGGTTCCAATAAGTCCATAAATTGCCCCTTTTTGGATTCGAACCACTGACCTTCGGATTATTAGCCCAATTCTTAAAAAAAACTCCACTAGCAAAAACAGTTGGCATACACTTTTTATCCAAAGAGACATGAGATAAAGCAGGGTCAATGCACCTAAAGCTAAGTGACTTACACGATCACATAATGCCCATTGAGGATCCATGTCTCTTCTGGAATTTGAACTCCATACCTTTGGAACTACAGTTATGTTGTACATACGCCTTCCAACTCCAAACTGCACATTTTGTTACTTGCCAGATACCACCTTATCCAAAGCCACTTGCAATACATTGTCAAAGACAGTCCACCTTAAAAACCCTCAAATTAAGTGTCTTATTCGTCTTCTCTGGGTTTAGTTTTGCTCAGAGGTAATAGAACATGCCAGTAACTATTGATTACATGAACAGGCTTTTCTGGTGTTTGAGCCAGTAACTTTTGGATTGTAAGCCAGGTTTTACATTCTTCAACCGGCAACAGTAAGCTTTCTTGCTTAAAGAATTCCAAAATGGAAAATTCTGTTATTAAAAGATGTTTTGAAAAATATCGGTAACACTTTACTTGAAGGGGTGTGCATAAGACTGACATGACACCTTCATAATCATAACATGACACGTCATGAATATGAAGGTTTTATGCATGTTTATGACAACTGTCATTAAGTGTCATTCGCTCAGTTATGTCATTTTTAATGCAAATATGATATTATTTGACCTAACCCTACCCCTACCCTTACCCCTAACCATAGCCCATAACAAAGACATCTCAAACAATGTCATCTTTGCATTAAAAATTACATAACTGAGCGAATGACACTTAATGACAGTTGTTATAAACATGCATAAAAAAACTTTTTGCATGTTTATTTATACACACCTAATTGACAGGTGGGAACATCTCACAGTTACTGGGAAAAAAATAGCCAGGCTTATCTGTGCAGATCTATTTTTCCACAAATGAGAATCTGATTGTTTATTCTGTACACTAGCCTGGACTGCACTGATCTGTTTTATTTTGTTTTATTTTTTGGCAAAAATAACATATTTCTCAAGTCATAGCCTAACACTAGTCTATCCATAAGGGATTGGAACCATGAAAAGTGAAGAAATAATTTTACCCTCTTTGACAGACTCTTCTGTGTAAAATGCTTTTATGGGCCCCGGAGGGCAAGCATGTTGTTTTATTATTGTTTTATTAGGGGGGAGAATTGGATGATGTCTGTGGGAGTGTGTGCGAGTGTGTTGTATGATAACGCAATGGGCATCCCCAGATGAGAGGAAGCATCTCGGTATTCCGTAAACGGATCTCAGGGTCTCCTGAGCCCCGGCACACTCTCTGGCCCTGATATGGGGGCCAGATAAAGATAATGGGTAATAGGAATGAGGTAGCCTCCATCTCCTCGATCCCTCTGAGACTGATTGGACCGGAGTGTTTCTGTCCCTTGCCTCTGTTTTTAATTCTCTCTGTCACAGTCCCCTGAGGGCAGGGATGGAGGGAGGGAAGATAGAGGGAAAGAATGAGAGAGTGATGCAGATAAATCAATGCACTTCAGCCCATCTCAGTCTCTATTTTAACTCTCTTTGGCTTTATTCTCTATCCAGCTACATCCTGCTGCTGCTGTTTTCAGCAGAGATTGCTTCTGTCTTATTTATTTTCAATTCTTTTCTGTCCTTTTCATTTCACTTTTAGTCTTTTATTAAGTTTTTTTTGTTTTTTGTGTTTGTAGGTTTTGTCATACTGTTTCATTTAGACTTTTTTCTTTTCATGTTTTGCTCTTCTAGTTTTCTTTTCTTTCAGTTTATTTTTTCTTTTAGTTTCTATTCTTCTCTCTGTTTACTTTTCTGTTTGCACTTGGAATCAAGGCTCATTTGCATGTTTATAGACAGTACTGTAGTGAGATATAAAACAATGGTCGGGCCTCTCCTGGAGATTTGAAGTTATTCTCATCACCCAGAGACATGTTTCATCATCTTGCCTATGATTGCTGTTTTGTTTTTCTGGTTGGGATCAGAGCGAAAGGTAGCAGCAGGTGGCTTGAAGAGGCCTCACTCCTCTAGCGTTCCAATCATACATTCATTTGCAACAGAGGGGAGCCAAAAAAAAAGAATGAGAGAGACATCTCTCTTGTTCCTGGCCATGTTATCCGTACATCACATTGCAAAGGGATATGTTTATTTCATTCAGCGCTGATTCCCATCTCATTGCCGTTTCATGTTGCTGTTTTTGCTGAGGCTGCAGACAACGGCTGGTGGGCGCTGAGGGGAGGGTGGGAGAATATCTTCGCATTTTGTTGTGCATCACTAGTGAGCTCAGTAACTACAATAAGAGCAAGCTCAGCAGGAGGCTTAACGTGGTCGATCAGGGCCGTTTGGACTCAGGATGCTCGACCCACTGCAGATGAAAAAGGAAGTGGCTTTCAGCAGTGGCTGTAATCACGCCCATCGATCCACTGGTCACGAAGGCCCGGCTCTCTAACAAAGGGCAGAAGAGATTAATTTACCTTTCCTTTCCTTCCTCTCTTTCTCAAATGCTCCTTCACGTACCCTTATTTTCTCTCTCGTTTTCATTTCTTTCTCCTTCTCTCTCTCAGTATAGACTTTGTCCCTTACCTCTTTTCTTCTATTGTTCCTATGTCTTCATTTTTTAAGTTTTGAAAAGTCAGATTTTTAGCTCCACTTTTTCTTTCAAGGCTGAAGAAAGAGAACCATTTTTAAGATTACTATATACTATAAATACCAGCAAATTTATCACCACAATAGGTTTTTGTACAAGACTAAGATGTGCAAAAAATTACTTTGTGTTTGCTTGAGTGTGGAAGCTTAAAGTGGCTTAATATATTGAAAAAATTTCTATATTTCTTTCAAAAATGAAAAAAAAAGAATTGCTGTGGTTTGCTGAAGTTGATGTAGTTTTTGTGTTGAAATACTTCCTATCCCAAATTAATATTCAGAGACAGCTATACAAGTTATTACACTCTGTAAACAGTTCATATCTTTAATTAGAGATTAAAAGAAATGTAGTGATTTAATGCGAGATTCCTTGTTCACTGGGGCCAGATGACATATCATTAAAACTTGTGTATTCTGTAAAGCTGCTTTGAAACAACCAATATTGTAAAAAGCGATTCACAAAAAAATTTGTGAATGGAATTCCTGCACTCTGAGTATTAAACATTGGATGCAATTACTTTGTGTTCTCGTTGCAGAATGGCGTCAAGGCAGAGTAGTACGAGTCATCCTTCAGGATGAAGATGTTACGACAAAGATTGAGGGTGACTGGAAAAGACTCAACATGCTGATTCACTACCAGGTAAGATCCTGTGTATGTCACGTTTCCAGGTAAACTCATTCTTGTTATAAGGTGTTCAGTTTGTTTTTTTATAAAGTCAGAGGTCCAAGACATGAATGCTTCAGAAGGGGTGCATTCTTTCTTCTTTCTATCATCCCTACCATCTACTTCAAGGCTTCTTGTGAGAAAATTGATAAAGAGGTTGTTTGTTTGCTGTTTCAGACTGAAATCTTTTTCAGTTGTACAGAAAGATATCTGCCGTCACAAAGATGGCTTTGAGCCTTTGAAATCTATCTTAAATCAGAAGAAGGATGAGCATTGTACCTGCTGGTTTCTATTTAAAGCAGCATCTCCAGATGTCCCAGTACATTTAATCTGACAGCAGTGGGATGCAGGTGTAGGTGGATCTGTAGCTTGACACCCGGGTTAGATGATCTAGCTAATGACTTTTGATAAACGGCTCTCTGTGTGATGTGAGTTTTGGCGTGGGCTTTCAATGATAGCGCAGATTCTGACAGAGTAACTAATACTGGAACAAAGAGATTTGAATGCAGAATGAATGTCTTTTGTGAAGCTCAGAAGTGTAATGCTCTATTTATGTTCGTCTCAAATGTAACAAGGAACCTTTATGAGGTGATTAGCACAAAAAAGGATGAGCAGAGAAAAGATACTCTATAATGGTAATTGCTTTTGGTTCGTGTGTCTTAGATTATCTAGTTTAGGGAAACATAAACACTGTTAACATTCATTGCATCTCAGCCCTATCGAACTCTTACGCCCCCGTTGACCTCTATAATAGGGTGCAGTAAAGGCACTTCCAGGTCACTTAGAAAACTTACTCTGACTGACGGTTCTCCAACATGGTAGACAGGGACCATCGAGTTTCAGGGGACAGGTATGGCAATGCTGACTTAGCAGGGGACTAATAAAGTCTGTCTGTCTGCAATTAAATAAACACTCTAAGTGTGAGAACCCCAGACATATCTGTCTGGCTGGGAGGGGCAGTTTAGGGTGGAGAGGAGACAGGCGGCGCTTCATTACATTGTAAATAATTTCCTCCATAAGCCGCCCTCCAAATTAGCTTTTAGAGAGAGAGGAGTCTGCACAGTACTTAAATTAAATGTCACGGGGGGGCATATGGGTGCAGGGCTGCAAGCGGCAGAATGGATTAGCTGTTGATTGGAATCGGAGATCAGATAATGAAGACAGAAGTTAATTCATTTTCAGTCGGGGAGGGCATGCTATCCTTGACAAAAAAAGCTATCAGACACCCTAAGCCTGTTAGAGTTGCTTAAGAGGGGGAAGAGAGAGACCCTCTGTGCACCCTGCACCATCTTCAGTTTCTTCATTTCTGTCCTTGCGCCACATATGTGTTCATGACTGTCTTCCTTTCATTTCTTCCTCTCTAATAGCACCAAATTCCCTTGTTTAGTCTCATATGAAAAGTCGCAGAGTGTCGCACTAAAGTCTGATATGTCTGTCATAAAGGATCCTCTGTGCATGTCTAATGTATATCTCAAGTCATCTTTGATACTTTCCTCCAAATCGAGGTGCTACAAATGCATCTGGCTCTGACGTTAATTCTTTGATGTTATCTTAGGAAGCTTCACATTGGGGTTGTATAAGCCCCATCTCGGATATCTGATGTTTCTGAATGCTATCAGGAACACAGAGACTCTCTTAAAGCGTAAACTTGCCCGCAGAGGAAAGATAAAAGAGAAAATCTCTGCTGTTTTCTAAAAAGCCCCTTTTCAGGGAAATATAGCCCTTGTCTGAAGTCTCCTTTCACACAGTCATTCATCTATACAGAGGTGTAAGAAATATTCGTTTGATTTTGTTGAAGTTTGGACAGCTGTCCTCACGGGCCGTGGCAGTAAACGAGGGTGGCTTCACGTTGAGTTTGTCTAGGGAGAAAAGTGGTTAAGGGTATAAGAATAATGTCCTAATGGTCTGTGAAGCCTATATTCTCCCTCCTGCTGTGGTTTGGGTCCCCATGCAGTTCTGAGCCCAAATCATCTAGTTCTACACCGTCACCTCAATTAACCCTGTAAGTGCCGCAGGCATCCAATGGCAAATTATGTGGATGGAGGAATGTGTGGTTGGGGAGTAGACATGTTAATTGAATTTGGCTTGCTAAGGCTTACTGTGGTTAGCAGTTGCTGAGGCATATAGTTAAATAGCCCAGTTCATCCCACCGGAAGAAACATATTGAAATGGAAGCAGATTATCCCTTCTTGTCCTTCACTCATGCAGTTTTCCATTAACCTGGATGAGAAATAAAAGACCAATAACCCTAACTTAATGTAACCATAAAGCTGAAGACATCATACTTGTTTACAACTGTTTTTTAGTCTGAAATGTAGATATTTTATTTGGTTTTCGTAAATTGTCCATAATAATCTTTGTTTCTTTGTCTGCAGGTGACTGATAATGCAGTGGTAGCTCTCGTATCAAAGCAGGTCACCGCATACAACTCTGTGAACAACTCCACTGTCTCCAGAACCTCTGCTAGCAAATATGGTTTGTGTTTGTTATTCCTTTTCTAATTCTAAAATGCATCCATATCTCCAAAACAAAACGTACGGCACACTATATAAAACATTAATAATCAGCTGACTAACGTTTCTACAGCAGGGTAGGGTAACATTCCACCTGAGCTGCACTAAGAACAGAAAAGGAGTTTAAAAAAAATAGTCTTGTCATCTTACAGGGAGGTAAAAGAAGTTAAATGTGTAGCATCTCAGCCACTCACAAAAGGGAGCAGGAATGAATCTCAAACGGAATTACGTGGAGAGAGCCGAGATAGTCGGGCAGCATACAAAGGTAAAAGCAGGGAAAATGAGTCTCTTTGCACTTGACTTCCCTCCTGAGACTCTGAATCCGTCCCTGTCATTCGCCCGCCATCAGTCCCTCGTACGATTGGGTCTGATAAAGCGCAAGATCAAAGCTCAGGGCCTTACGAGCACTCCCCCTACACATCAAATAGACCATTAAAATCATCTCATCTCCATATACTTTCCTGCACTCTAAATGAGCCTAAAGAAGAGAGAGAGGGAGTGTGACAGATGGAAAAGACAGAAAGAAAATGCCATATATCACTTCACTCTTTCAGAATTAGCTTCAAACGACATTTAGGTTCTTGTAACAGGTTCAGCAAGAGACACATTTTGAAACACCTAGAAAGACATTTTTTGAGGCTGCAACAGTTTTATTAATCAGATATCCACCAAATATAGGCTACGTTCACACAGTCAGTGCTCTATAATGAACAGAAAACTAGTTTGGTTCATACAGCATATATCAACTCACTCTCAGAATTTGGTCAAGTCTTGAATATTTGAACAATTATTATTTGGCACTCCAGACTGAGGCAGTGTGAACGTAGCCACACTGAGATCAGCACCAGTGATGTGAATGCAAATATACACGCTCAATCTCATTCCTTTTTTTGTTAGTCATCCTCTCTGTTCTTCTTTTTCTGAAGGTGTTATTGTCTTTCTTTATCAGGTTCCTCCTACTCTTCTCTCTCTTTGTCTCTTTCCCCTAGAGAGATTGATTTCTGTTGCATCTGCCACTGTGAACTGTTTTTTTATCTTATCAAATCAGGCCTTTGCCAATCAATTTTTTTTCACACTGTGTAAACATTCATCGAGCTCTGTGTTTTTTTAAATGTCATGGCTGATCTCTCCCTATTGGCTGAAGCATGAATATTTCATCTGGCCTGACACCTGTTCGATTTTGTGTCTGCCAAAGGGAGCGAACACGCACGTTCGCCAGAGAGAAAGCAAGCAAGAGAGCAAGGGATGAAAAATTAAGCATCCATACGTTCTAAATGATTCATTTCCAATCTCGAGTACTTCACAACAAAAGGCAATGCGTTTTGTACAGATAGGAACAGATTTGAACAGCTGCACGGGACATTTGTCAGCAAAGGAAGATTGAGGAGGAACCACCATCTGATGGGTCTTTGTCTTTTCACTCCAACAGAAAACATGATCAAGTACACGGGCAGTCCGGACAGCCTGCGTTCCCGCACACCCATGATCACACCTGACCTGGAGAGCGGCGTCAAGGTGTGGCATCTGGTGAAGAACCATGAGCATGGAGACCAGAAGGAGGGAGACCGTGGCAGCAAGATGGTCTCGGAGATCTACTTGACCAGGCTGTTGGCCACCAAGGTAGGCTTTGCCACCATGTCTTATATTCTCTGAATGTCAGAATTTGTTGAACGCCCCTAAAAAGAGTTGTCAACAGATCTGATCCTTCCCAAAACATGTGAACCTTCTAGAATGAGATCAAATGGCTAGATTGTGGAGTTAGTGGAGTTGAGGCCACAGTGTCAAACAGTTCATGTTTATGCTATTTGCTCCGAACTCCGGTTTGTCTGTTTTCTCCATTAGTATCACGCTGACTGACTTGATGTCACAGCATCAGCAGAGCTGGTAAACAGGCACTTGTTTTGGGTTGAATACAGATCCCTCACTACCAGAAAAGCATAGTGCTTCAAGGACATCAGGAAGTTGAAGAAATGGAATAGAAGGCTTTGTTTGATTAGGCAGGCATCACTATTGCTACTGCTCATTGTTAAAATCCAAAACGCTTAGTATTTTACTTTGGCACTTAACGCATCCTGTACCGTAAACCTCAAAACATAGCGGTTTATTGATGACAGTTGTGCTATTACTTATATAAATGACTGGATGATCCACAAAGGGAAGATTCACAAAGAAGCGTCATAGTTGTAATTTAGTGTTTGGGTAATCTTGGATGTGAAGGCCCCAGTCCATGTTTTCTTAAAGGCTGATGCTGGGAAACTGAAGTACTGGCACAGAAATCTGCTTTTTGCAGAACTGTATGTGTCTGTGATTCTGACGTTCCTGATATAACCAAGCAGGAGTGCACACACACATGCACAAATGCCCTGGTGATTACCCTACTCCGCTTGCAGACTGTGTCATATTTTTAGATGGATTATTTCTGTGAAATAACCAGTTTATCGCAGACACCATCTCTCTTGGTGAAAAATGATTGGTGTGATAGCACAGTAATTGACTGTTTGGCTTTCACCCCTGCAATAAATACCAGTGATCTGCCTGGGGTGCTGATGCTTTCTGCATTCGGTCCATCAGTGTCTCTGAGAATGGGTGAGCTTTACCTTTTTCCATCTCCCTCCATAATGCCAGGCTTTATTTAATCTTTCTTCCTCTATCGTTCTGTCTTCTGCACTTTTCCATCCTCTTTCTGTTTGCAATTACACAAATGTTCTTTCCTCACCTGTCCGGAACGAGATCACTTGAAGTTTAATGCTTCTCTGACTGCCTGCCTGTGTCTGATAGCCTGCTTTTAAGTGCGCTAAAATGACCAGGTACATTTCAAACGGTTGCAAATAGCCACTTTGGTTTCTGGGCGACTAATGATGATGTCAGACGTCACACAGGATGACACCTGTCAGAACCATCGCAGTCATCCCTTTTGCCAGCCTCCTGCAGCTGTCGCCGCGTTGATACAGGACGCGAGTGAGAAATATGTATTTTCATCTTCATAGGGAAAAGATAAGCTGTGAGGGATCTGGGACACAGTAGAATTATTGTTGTGATTGTAAGCTAAAGGGATTTTTTTCTTCTTCCCGTCTGCTCAAACGGAAATAGGATTTTGTGTGCTGTGCCTTGTGCACACCTCATCCGGATGCGAAGCCGGTGCTGGCTGCGAGATACGGGCGGCGCTTTTTGATACTTTCCTCTCTCTCTCTTCCGTGCTTCCTATCAGTTCTTTCATTACAAGTGGATTAGATTCTGTCATCTTCTCTCCTCCTTAGATTCACCACCATTAAATCAAATTAGGGTCAATGGTGCGGGGTGGACGTTAATCCATCTGCACAAAGCAGCTTAGGCAGAATTGCTTCCGTTACGTTTTATTAAAGGTGAACTTCAAAGTAACACTTTCACTATCAAAGAGCTTGATTCAGGAACTTTGGTTTCATCGGTGGGATTACTGACATGTGGCCCACAAATACTTTCAGAAACACAGATAGCTGTTCTGAGGAACACAGCAGCTCATGTCATTGCTAAATATCAGGTCCATGCAGGATGGAGACACATATATGGCCTGCCTCTGTAATGCTGGTAACACCAGTGTCATTTAAATAAAGCGTAGGACAGAGTGAATGGGATGGATGGATGAAAATTAACCCAATTCTCCATTTCTTTTTGGTTCCTCAGGGCACTCTACAGAAGTTTGTGGATGACCTCTTTGAGACCATCTTCAGCACAGCACACAGAGGAAGTGCCCTTCCTCTTGCTATCAAGTACATGTTTGACTTCCTGGATGAGCAGGCCGACAAGCACAACATACACGACCCGCACGTCAGACACACATGGAAGAGCAACTGGTAAGATGCCTCGCACACATAAATATAAATTCATATTTATTATATAATTTTGAATAATATATATATGAAAAATAGGTCCAAAATTGGTCCATATATAATACAACCTAAAATGAAACTGAAATGCAAAACTATAATAAAAGACCCATAAAAGCAGATAACTTGATACTGCCCCTAATGTAGCTGTAACCACGGACATCACCATGGCAATGAGTATGAGAGAAATTAATAACGCTCATTTCTAAATTAATTTCACCCAACCAATTTAGAGGCACGTCCCCATAGTGGAAGGGGGTTGTGAGGGCTAAATAAACAACCAGCAGATCGAGTGAGAAAGGAAGAGGGTATGAGGTGAGAGGGTGGAGTGGATGAGAGTGGATGGTAATCTATCATTAGCCTCTGCCAACGTCCCATCACGCACCACCCCAAAGGGCTATGGGGGATGAAGTGATGATATTGATGTGAGGGCACGGCAGGAGGGGCAGTGGGTACAGTCCCTATTTACTCTGTTTTATAGACCTAATTTCTCCCCGTCTCCCCCCGCAGTGTGTTTCGGGGCCATTTGAGAGCGTTAAGTGATTTTGGAGCGCACAGAAGGTCACTCTTGCATTGCACATTAATGGAATCGTTCTCACAAAGAGTGGAACATTAAATAGCGATTTATCATCTCACACTCATCGCTGGGCATTACAGCCCGATGCCACTGTGGCATCTGTGATATTTTTTAATGAGCGTGAGAGGGTCTTCTACAGGACTAATGCACTGCTACCCAGCTTTTTGCTGACAACTAATGTCTCTCACAGAAAATGAAATAGCTCCATTTTCAGATATTGTGCACAAAACAACAGGCTCAGCTTTATCTGTGTTGCTAGATGTGCTGCTGCCACCACACAGGCCATTAATTGAACCAGAGCCATGGGTAGGGCATATTTGCTGTCTGTAGAGGATTTTAACACTCTAAAGCTAAATGCTTTTGGCCATGAAAGCACAGGCATAATCAGTATTTTGTTTACAGACTGTTAGTGTTTGCTCATCAATTCTCTTCACCAATTATTATTGTTCTTAATGGGAAAGTGAAATTATTTGTGCAGGGTGCACTGAGGGGTTTCTCGTTTTGATTGATTTTGCAAATGAGAGATTTCCAGACAATCCAGATGGCAACTTAAGATGTCCAAGTCTCTTGCTTATCCTCTTATTTGAGTGTGTCCTACACAGACAAACACTTCTTTAATATTAGTAGCGAGAATAACAGTCTAGACCACCCAAATCTCAGCATGAAAATTTGCATCTTTTTCACTAATCACCCGTTATGGAGCACAATTTAACCTTATAGAGCTGAAAACTTTTTAAAAGCAGATTTTTGGCCATTTGTGCAGTTATCTGATTCACATAGATTAGGTGAATCTGGTGCCAAAACAATGCATAAAGCAAATGCAAATAAACAATGCTATCAGTGAATTCTGTGTGAATCCCATGGACATCTAGATTGACTTTCATTCAAACAAATCACAACCTAAATGATGGATTCCTCAGTTTTGTTACAAATCTCTTCTTCAAATGCATCAAAGGAAGCCTTAAGCATCAGATCTTTAACCAAAGCCAGGCAGAGATGGATTGCTGATGGTCGAGGCTCTTGTGAATCATCCATCATGCCATTGTCTATCTTGTGACTGGGCGAGGGTGGGGCGGTACAGCCTGCCAATCAAAGTACAAGCTGTCAATGCACAGATACAGATAATCAAAGCAGTTTGATTGGTGTGGTTAAATTAACTCTCTTTGTTGAGCTACTCAAAATGCAGATGACCAAAATTAATACTATTTAGTTTTCAAAGGGGCGTTCACACTGACAGTGATTTGTGGCAGTGACGATGCAACAAAGTTAAACAATGCAAAAAAAAAAGCTATTATACATTGTAACAATGTGCATAGATCAGGAAGAAGGAGGTGAGAACCTGCGAACATTTAAACATCAAACTTTAATAAGCAAATGAACACAAAACAAAAGTAAAAGCGACAGCCCCTCACAGACGACTGCCGCATAAAACATGATAAAACAACAACATAAATAGTCCAGGCCTGGTCCTCTCTCGTCTTGCACTGTTGTCACTCCTCCTTTTATCCTTCCGGAGCTCCTCCGTGGGACTCGAGACCGGTGAGTGGCGCAGGTGTCACTCATTATCATTTACTCCACCGGCCCCGCCCCACTCGTCACATACATACAGAGACATTAATGTCCATAAACTTGGCAAATGTCAAGTAAGAATTTGCAAAAGTACATATTTTCAAAATAGACTAGGCGATTGGTCCAAGTTGCAGGTACAATCACCGTTATTCAGCTCATTTTTGTGCGTTATTTTTTCATTAGGATTCCACACAATCGGGAAGATTTCCTGATGTGGATTTCACAACGGGTTCAAGTTGGTCAACACGGTGGGCCTTTCTTGCCTGCGAAATTTGGCAGAAATTTCACTGAATTTTGCAGATGTGACCGCACATTTAAAGTCCTGTAGAATTAGGCTGGTCTCAAGTTCACCTGACCTCGATCAAATGCATTTCTAGATAAACCTCACTAATCCACTAGTCCGAACACTGAGATACATAAGACATTAATTTAGGCACTTTTTTGGACATAAAACTATGGTTCCATAGTACATCAGAACCATTTTGCACGTTACAAAAAATTTCTACCTTTACACAAAAAAAGCAGGCAGAAGAAACCCAAAAGACTGACAGAAGAATGTGAGGCTTTTCCCAGAGAGGGCTGCGCTGAGCTGAGTGCTATATTTAGCTGGGATCTAGTCCATCCAGACATCATTCCCATCTCCTGATCCACTCACTCTCTCCGCTGAGAGCTCTCTAAAGTATGGCGCTTCAAACACGTCCTGCTTTTTGTTCTGTCCGGAGAATATGATCTTCACAGAAGCCAGTTGTGGCAGGTTTACGAGGGTGTCGACTCGTTGTTAAAGCATTGATATCCTTTTGATAGAGCGCAGATAATCCCAGTTGATTCTCTCTGATTAATTTGGGAGTCATAATACGTGCTTTGCTCTCTAAATCCTCTTTGGTGCAGTTGTTATTTTTGAATTAATTCAGAATGCAACAGAGAGGGGGCTGCTACGGAAAAGCTTTTGTTGACTGTTTTCTCTCTTTTTCTTTGATGCAAAACTCTGCATCCATTTCACTGCAGTGTCCTTTCTTATTCCCCCGTCTCCTCTCTTCAGTTTTTGTTATCTAAGACAAAACCAAAGCTGTCTTGAAAACTAACGAGAACTCTGCAGTCTCAGACACAAGCGCACAAAGTCCCAGCCCAAACAACATCTGTGACCCTTGAGACGTGCACGCACACACTCCCAAGTTGATTTCACTTTAGCACAAATGGGCTGGGGTATAAAGTAGCCTTGTATACGTTTATTGTTTTGGACAGGTGCACAATTGCAGGACAGCACTAAAGATACAAACAAACCAATATGAGATGTATTAGTAAAGCACTCAGAGTATGGCTCAAATACTCATGCTGCCATTTCAGACTGAAAAAATTGGCTCTGCACACCTCAATTAAAATGATTTAATTTATCAATATCATTCCAGTATCTATTCAATATACAGTGGGTACGGAAAGTATTCAGACCCCCTTAAATTTTTCACTCTTTGTTATATTGCAGCCATTTGCTAAAATCATTTAAGATAATTTTTTTTCCTCATTAATGTACACACAGCACCCCATATTGACAGAAAAACACAGAATTGTTGACATTTTTGCAGATTTATTAAAAAAGAAAAACTGAAATATCACATGGTCCTAAGTATTCAGACCCTTTGCTGTGACACTCATATATTTAACTCAGGTGCTGTCCATTTCTTCTGATCATCTGGCTGCAATATAACAAAGAGTGAAAAATTTAAGGGGGTCTGAATACTTTCCGTACCCACTGTATATTTAATAAACTTATAAGCATTAAAAGCAGTCTGATGTTTCATAAAGCCACTGCTTCCTGTTCCAAAACGGCCTTTTTATGCATTAAAGAGCTTTTGAAAATAAAATGCCATTAATACATTCTCTGCTCTCCACAGCCTACCTCTACGGTTCTGGGTGAATGTGATCAAGAACCCACAGTTTGTGTTCGACATCCATAAGAGCAGCATCACGGACGCCTGTCTGTCTGTGGTGGCACAAACATTCATGGATTCGTGCTCAACGTCAGAGCACCGCCTGGGCAAAGACTCCCCCTCTAACAAGCTGCTGTATGCCAAGGACATTCCCAGCTACAAGAACTGGGTGGAGAGGTGAGCAAGAACATTTTTATGGTTACAAGATTCCCTTTCTAGATCTTTCAAAGTGATTGAACATACAAACAAAGACTGTCAATCACAGTATCTGGTGGACCACCGCAGCCTTAGAAATCCATATCAGAAAGAGTAGACTTCCATATTCCTTCGGTTTGCATGGTTCTAAGGTCTTGGTGTGAAGAGATTGGGTAGAAACATGGAGAAACTGCTGTTTTAATGTGTATGCATGTGTGAGGGAGAATGAGAGACTGTATGTGAGGTGCACTTGTGAACGTTTTTAATCAGAAAAGATGCAAAGATACAGTGTTTATGTGGGTATCAGCGTGAATAAAAGCCCAGAATTGTATTATGTCCTGCAGGTATTGTGTGTGTGTGTGTGTGTGTGTGTGTGTGTGTGTGTGTGTGTAGCTGCTGGTAATCAGACTGAAGTGTGTTGTAGAGCTCCAGGATGATGAATTGCAGCTCTATTGTAGTTCAGTAGATCTTCTGGGTCTACCCAACATTGCACCAAAGCAATTAGTCACTGTTTAGTGAGAGAGACAAACTTTTCTGCTTTTCCCACAATCCTCTGGGTCAGAAACTCTATGTTCAACAATGCCAAGAAAGTAGAAGCAATGACTGTAAAAAGCTGCATCTGAAATTGCATGCTGTCTAGTACGTACTGCATTTGGGTATTTATTTCGTGAACATTTAAGTATGTAGTATTATATAGGTAGTCTGAATGAAATTCAGACGCTGTCACGTGACCTACTGGCATCAGTTGCGTCACTTCACTGCCATTCACAAGTTCTCCTCGCCCAAGGCTTCAGGGTACTTCTTGCCTACTGTTTTTCGAATGCTATGATTTGAACATAACACTTTTTTGGCATACTGGTGTTTTTCGCATACTATATAGTATGGAATTAGGCATATTCAGACACAGCTAAAGAGCTTTGAATAATTCTATTGTTTTCTGCTCAGTTCAGCGCACCGCGCTGGTCTACTCAAGTCCACCACCCTACAGTAAACAGCACTGATAAAACTCATCAGCGCCGTGTGTCTCTGCTCACGCACACTGACCCTCAGCCTCTGACTAACGTGTTTATTTGCCGTGAGGTATTAGAGGCTGCAGGAGGAGACGGGTAGCTGGCAGACGAGCATGATGGGGAAAATGATAAGACCGTAATCATGCTGCCAGCTCACATTCACTATGAAAGAGCTGAGATGGAGAGAAAGCTCATTTTCATGCATTAGCTAATGTGTTACACATCTTTAAGGACTGAGATCATACTAAAACGTGCCTACTGAGGTGAGAAAAGCCTGCTTTAATTATAGGTGCTGACATATATGTGTTTAAACCAGGAAAAATACGTTCTCAAAGATACATTCTTTGTTCTGAGTTACAGCTCTCACATTACTCCTTAATTTGTTGTTTTCGGTAATATCCTGATAGGTGACAAATCTGTGTTAATTGAGACAATCCTTCTGTTTCCTTTTTGTCAGACGATTTGAGAAGAGATCCTTTCATGTCTTCATAAAAATTAATGTCTTCATTCAATTTGAGTTGAATTACTGAAATAAATGAACTTTTCCACGACATTCTAATTTATTGAGATGCACCTGTATATATATATATATATATATATACACACAGTGGTTAACAAATTTATTAGATCACCACCACCCAATGTGGTGCCACAGCTGCCCTAAACTAACAATATTGGTGATTACCAAAATAGTTTTTTATGTTTCTGTAATGGTTAATCCATCAGTATGTGTAAGCTTTTTAGTCACAGTAGTATTTGTAATGCTAAAATATAATTGTTGTTATCCATGAATTTTCAAATTTACTGTTTTATGAGAAAGGCAGAAAAAAAAGTAAAGCACTTTTTTTATTCAGATGCCCAATTACAGTCAATAAATACAGTCGCTACCTGTCATAATAAAGAGAAAACACAAATATTTTAGGAATCTGGTAAAAAAGAACTTGTTTAAAAATGAAACTGTATTATCATTTATTAGGCAAATAACAAACTGAAACAACTAAATTAGTCTTTATTCACACATAATAACAAAAAAAACGTAATATTTTTCAATATATAAAAATGTAATTTTTGCTGTTTGCGGTGAACAATTATTAAATTTATATTCTATTCAATTTATTTTTAAATGGCATTTCCAGTTTATTCATTGGTCAGAAAGTGTAGCAACTATTTAGTCATTTGCAATACATGCACGATACGAGGGAATAACCAGCATGGACTTGTTCTGGCTGACGAACAGCTGACATTTAAACGTGGTATTAATTAGTGCCAGACGAGCTGCCTGTCATTAGCCTTGGGAAGCAGAGGGCGCAGAGAGAGACGCTAAACTCAAATGTGTGAACTCGTTTAGGAAGTGTACCTGATTCCTTTGGGAAGGCCATACCTAAAGATTACAACTCACTAGCTCTCTCGTTCAACACCATACCATTGTCCTCCACTGATGCATTGCAGCACATACTTGCCACTCAAGGTGCTCACGGGAGCCTGAAACAGACACGCATGCCACCGGTTAGTCAGTCAGTGTGTTGAGTCCAGGAGTTGGCATGGTGCAGGAATTAAAAATGTAAATGACCTGCCTTAATTAAAGAGTCGACAGAGCCTCTGCAGCTGCAGGTGACAGTGACTGATTGCTTTTCCTCCACCAACACTCTTTCACTCACTCACTCACACGCACCAGCCACCCAAAGACAACAGATAGTGTTGCTTCGTTCCAAAACCTAGTGAGCTGCCTACAGAGACAGCATTTTAAGGCATCGTGGGTGCTCACCAGGCACGAAGGCTGTTCCAAAAGATAGGCATGTTAATTATACTGCCTCATAAGATACCCTGTAGCATCACATGTTTCCTCCATGTAAAGGCAATCCCAGAATGCATTTTGAGTGGAGTGGAAAAAAGTTGGTGAATGAAGCCAGAGAAATATGAATTGGATCAATAAAATTAAAATTATGGATAAAAATGTTTGTGTGTTTGTAAGCTTATTTGTGTATCACACCATTAGCTTATCAATATGGTAACATCAAACACAATTGCAAGTTTTAATACAAGACGTTTCTGCCTAGCTAGAGTGTTCCAAATCACATATGAGGTTCCATGATGGTTGCAATGCTGTCTACCTAGGCAGTGGTTCTGGAAGAGTGCTTGTATCTACAATAACTGTGTGCTTTTATGTGCACATTTTGTTTTGGATGTGCTAGTGTGTGTTTAGTGTCAGCGTATGTGTGGGGCACATTTACTGAATCTTTCCAGCATCCTATAGATTCTGCTGATCTCTGGAAAACTTTCAAGGACAGCGGCTCATTAAGACTCACAGTCACTCGCTGATGTAAGCTGCAGCTGTACTGCCACAGAAAGTAAATGCCGAACTGATTGGAAGGGGTGTGACAGCTCTCACTCAGTGCCAGAAATGACCCTGAAACATGTTATTCTTACTCTACATGAGTTATAAAAAGGCTTCTTAAGCCCTGTCACCTGTCCAAGTTCTAAATGTTTGTTAAATAATCTGTGCTATTTCTGTTTCTCTGCGTTTCTTACAGATATTACTCCGACATTAGTAAGATGCCTGCGATCAGTGATCAGGATATGAACGCATATCTAGCAGAACAGTCCCGTATGCACATGAACGAGTTCAACACCATGAGCTCCCTCAGCGAGATCTACTCTTATGTGGGCAAATATACAGAAGAGGTACAGAAAACTATTAGCCTGTTAAATTGCCACATTTTAAGTGTAGCACACACATTTGTTTAGCTGGATATCACAATGACGGCTAAGAACGTGTTCAAGATATATTTTTCCTAAAATAAAGATAAAAAAGTAAATAAAAGTGAAAAGTGCAGATGAGAGGGATATGTGGTTATTTGGAGGCATGTGTAACTGATGTGTCATCTCCCTCTGACAGATTGTGTCTGCGCTGGAGCAGGATGATGGTGCCAGAAAACAGAGACTGGCCTATAAGCTGGAGCAGGTGGTCGCCTTCATGAGCCTGGAGAGCTGAGGACCACATTTCCCAGAGTGCACTGGGAGATCCATCAGAAACCGAGCCGTGCCTGATTGAAGACCTGTCCATCTATCTCATCTCTTCTGTTTGCAATCTTCCCACAAAAACAAGCGTTTGCATCGTATTAGCTCTGCTTTCTAGAAGAGTAGAGATGGGAACTGGAGGGTGGGCGGAGGAGCCAAGGACTACATTACCCATGATGCAGTAGAGTGGGTGGCCATCCGGCTCTGCTGTGTAGAGGAGGGGTGGCTGCCTACGAGTTCCACGTCACTGCATCCTCCATCCTTCTCCCTGACTGGAAAAGAGAAAAAAAAATTCCGTTGCCTTCAAAGTTTAGCTGATAAGCAGAAACCACAATGTTTGGTGTCAATTTGTTCTGACTTTTATGACTAGGGTAGTGTACGACACTAATATTGAGTCCAGTTCATTGTAGTACCTTTATGAAACATTGAAACGCAAGACAAAAAAATGGTACTGCATGCATCTGAAGAATGCAGTTCATTCGGGCCATTTCAAAAGACACAAAACACTTTGATGACACTGGATTTACGGGACGCGCAAGATCATTTATACGCTTTGATAAAAGAACAATCAAGCCTTGAGAATCCCACCTGCTTATTCTCACTTTGAAGACAGTGAGGTGTATTTAAAACCCTCTACATTTAGCGGGACAGAGCAAGTTAGTGCATCAACTCTTTTGTCTCTTCCGGGACCTTACCTGACAGTGAAACTGAAAGACGAGACCTATCGTCTTGTGGGATACCCACATCTTCACCACTTCACCACCAGCCTTCATTTCGGCATTTATCCGGCTTGTGCACATCTGAATTGATCCTCTCTTATCTAGATGAGTGGAGGAGAAGCCAAGGTTCGTTCCCCTTAGAATCAAGCACACACACCCCTCTTCCAGAGAGCGACGCCTTCTCTCTGTACTCCAGCGAGGTTGTCAGGACCTACGCTGTGCTGCAAGAGGATGAAGTAATCTTAACAACAAAAAAGCACATTCAATAGGTGTCTCAGTTCACACATCCAGTAGGGGGACCTTAATTACAAAATATCCTACTCAGAATTAGACGTTAAAGGGGGGAAATGGCGTGTTGTTGAAAGTGCACACGTGCAGCCTGCACTGTTCACTGCCACGGGGTCCCACCCGTAATGAACACTCTGGAAGCCTCTAGAAAAACCCACACGTGGACAAAGTTGGTCAGCAGAAAACCAAAGGAGCCCAATTTGAAAAAAAAATAGCAAAGCGAATAAATTACCCCTGAGAAAGCAAACACAAGGCACTATTTGTTTTATGACCTACAGAAGGAAACTCCGTCTGCAGCCTCATATTTGTTACTGTCCATTATTCTGTGTGCAGAATAATGGACAGTAGACCATAATTTGGTTATTGCACAACTGGGAAGGCGGAAAGAAATCCCGATCTGAAGTTTAAGGGCTTGCTGTAGTTTAAATGTTGCTGGCGGCCTTGAGAGATGAATCTTACCTGGGCTTAATGACTCTAAAAGCAAACGGATGGCATGATGAGGACATAATTAGTATTGGATGTAACTTTGACAATGGGAAAGAGACAATTTAGTTGCCCACCTTTCCTTTGTCCTCTGACCCCCTCTTTCCCCTTGACAGCGTACCCTATGTGGTGATGTGAAAGTGTGGAGAATCTGCCCAGGTCCACCTTGGGTGCTTTATTGGCTTTTTCAGCGCATGTATTTCAATTTAAACTTCAAAAAAGTAAGCCTTGCAATTGATGATGTGGATGTGTTCTTTTCTTTCTTTTGCTTGGAAGAACGAGATGGAAAAAAGTGGCTGTCATCTTCAAAATTGCAACCTCTTGTTAAGGTGGAACCTTTATCCTGCCCTTCCATTCAACTGCCATGACCACGTTTTGTGAATGTGTTAGATGCTAATAAGGCTAAGGTAAAACCTTAAGCAGATATAGTATATACCCTTGCATGCTGACCTATTTGGATGATATGAAATGAACTGCCTTGCTATCAATTTATCTAATACTACTAAGGATTTCTAAACCGAATCAAACTCTTGTTAGACTTTCATCAGACTCCTGCTCTTTTCCTGTCAGGTGGATTGCCTTTCTCGAAGGCCATCTATCTGAGAGTTCTCGTTCACGCTGAGCAAATATGACCACGACATCACATGCCAGTCCAGTCACACCTAACATACTATCACAACACATTACATTTGTGTTTTTTTACTGTACGTCTTTAATGTGCCACTCTAAAGAGTTGATTCCCTGAATGTGTCCGTATATTATTATTTTATTATATTAAATTATATTATTTGAATCAATAATAAATTATATTATTTGATGCAACCTAATTTTCAAGATTTCATTAGCATTACACCAAATTATTTTTTCATGTTGTTTTGGATATTGTCTCTGTATGTGTGATTGCTTTGGGCTCCCTTGTGTTATTTTTGGTTGTAGCTTAGTAACAGAGGATTGTGTTGAGGTATTGCGGGATTTCAGGTACACAGCCCCCAACTAATGATTCTAATGAGATAAAATAATAAAATACCACTGTCACCGTGTTAGGTTAGGTATTTTTATTATTATTATTATTTTAGTAAATCTTTCAAAACTGGAATCTTGCAAATTAGTTCAGAATTGACAGTGGAAAGTGTTTCATGATTCATGTTTCTGGGAACTCATTTATAAAGTCCACAGAGGTCTTAAATGAACTGATGATGATTTGATTAAAAAGCTGATATGTTCCTGGATTCCCTCATGACTCTGATCCTGTGTTATATTTCATGTTTCATCTCTAATGTTCGTTTATCAGGACGACCCCACCCCCTCCCTTTACGCCCCAAAAGACCTGATAAAGTTTCCACCTTAAACATTTTGTAAGAACTAAAAAGTCCTTTTAGCTCAGTGTTACAACAGGCATTGCAGAGACCTGTTCGAAAATACTTTTTAATATTTCCAGATTTGATGCAAGATAGATTTATCCTGATGGGAGGAGAGGAAGAGAGAGACCAGCGGAAAGGCAAGCTTCTCTAACTTTGTTATAATTAATTGTATACCTGTGTATGTAAATATAATGCATTCCTATTTTGCAGTCAAGAACAAAATACTATTTGTAATATAGAATAAACTTTATTATGAAAAAGATGGTGTTTTCTGTGTTCTTTTGTGTCTGTACCTTGCTTTGAATTAGCTTAATGGGGAAGTCAGAGAAGTTGTGGTTTCCATGGAAACAGAAATTGCGGCAAAAGAGCTCAGCAGTGCCTGCTCCCACAAAGCCCATTCACACAACTTTTAAAACTGTTTCAAATAAACTAAAACTGTTTTCAACATAGCTGTCTATGAAAGAATATAATCTCACTTGTATACTATGACAAACACCGAAGAGAGTTATATGCATCAATCTCTAATCTGATTGCATATGGCCTCAACCTTAACTTCCACCCCTCTAAACCAGACCTTTTCTATTTCTTTTCCTGCTTCAATAACACTAGAGCATTTTTACAACCATCATCTTGCAGAAAAACAAAGACTCAGGCTTTAACCACCTCCTGTCTCACAGTGCCAGAGGGCTCAATTGCCACCTTTATTACATTTCATCTCATTGCACTGTGTCGATTCTCTCAGTTAACGAGTACCCGTTCTTCTCCGCAACTCCAGTACGTTCCCCCTGACCTTTCAGCGTTTGTCTCTGGGCTCTCATGGAGGAAGGTAAGTGCGAGATGGTCATTTTAAAATCTCTTCACAAAAATGCCACCTCACAACATGTGCTCAAAGCATCTGCCCTTGTTGAGTGATTTCTTGCCTTTTAGCCTTGAGCGTAAGGTCATCGTAACAGCAAGGATTTACTGCATAGTGGTCTGACTGGTTCTTTTCAAAACGCATGGAATATTAAATCTAGTTCCTCTGTTCCAATCTACCAACTCGTTTTCCTCTGAATCTATTCATTCCGGAACGTTCCGACAGAATTCTCTCCAGCTGCAGACGCAATGCGGGCCGGCTAATAAGAATGCAGGGTGAATAATGGTGGACTAATTCCTGGGATTCACTAAAATGGTTATTGACAGCTGCAAGGGACCAGATGGAAGCAATTAGTATTATTAGTTGGTTGTGCTTTGTCCTATCTAAGTAAACATCTGTGAAAAGACAACAGATCCGGCAAAGGCTCCCGTCGAGTAAACGGAAAACCAAACAGCCCAACTGAACGGAGATGCTGCAGACAGCAATGAGATCTGCCATCCACGGCCCACACAGAAAACTGAACAGCTTAGGAATAAATATGATTTTTTTTTTTTTAAATCTACGTGCTGTCTGCGCCCATCTGGAGGAACAGAGATGCGATCATCAAATTCACCAGAAATGGCCCAAAAGGTAGAGCTAAGAAAAAGACAGCTGAATAAGAACACTTAGACTTAGACACTTTTTGTATCAGTGATAGAGCAGCACTGCCCTCCACTGCTTCTCTCTCTATACCAACCACAACCCCTCTAAAACTATTGATCCGTTCCTTTCCAATACCAAGACTCACAAGTATTAGCCCTTCAATGTGTGCTTTGGAATCAGTTACCAGCCCAGGTTCATTTTCAAAATTGAGTTCATCGTGTGTGCAGCGATGCTTAATTTTCTAATAAATGCGTGACGCTCTGGCAAATGCATGTTTCATATGAGTAAAAATTGATTGTGGCACAGATCATGTTCAAGTTCTGATTGCATTATTATGTTTGCATGTCTCCGACAGAATTGGCTTTTTAATCTAATTACTGTTTTGTTGTGTGGTGAGATCAAACATAAGTATTCTCATGAAGAGTGCATCTATCATGTGGAAAAAAGACTATTGGATTCAACAGAGGAGTATATAACGTGTCTTAAAACAGCATACAAAGCAAAACACTTTTTTTTTTCCGTTTTTAACTGACAGTTAGGGACCTTAAAAATGGGCTGCCGGTCTGTTCTGATGGGTTATGGACATCAGGAAACAATAATGCTAAATGCAAACAATAAAATGCGAAGTTATAGAGTCATGCAAAGTAACAATAGCAAAATCTTTTGAAGTCGCCATGAAAAATTCACCCTATTTTGTAAATGCATGTTATAGATCTTATTGTGAATGATTCATGCACGTTTCATTTAAAAAAATTTTGACCCTGTAATGTTTGATAAAAACTTGCATAATGTTTAATCAAGATCTTATAATGAAATCGACAGACTTCTCTCTGGTGATGTATATGTCAGACTCCAATCATATGTAGTCCACCAATTTCATAAAATCAACTTCAAGCTTGCATTCTTTTTTGAATGCAACGGCCACATCTCACAATTAAAAAGTAGTAGATAGAACCAAGTCCCTGGCCTACATTTTTTTGTCTTTTTCGATAATCCATAAAACTCAGATATATGGAAGAAAAGATCTGTCGCTACTACTTCATCACGACTTTAAAGAGGAGGAGAAAATGCTTCCCATTTGTTGTTGATGTCATAGGCTGTTCAGTCTAATCAATCTGTGCCTTTTTAGCTTATCATAATATTACATATTGTTGGGTCTATGAAGCTCCTGGTGGTGATACTAAAACGTTTAATTTTTGTTTACTTTCGTACAATAAACAATTGGTTTGTTGTTTTGCCATTTGATATCCAAAGTAAAATCTGGGTCCTGCAGCAAAGCCAGTTGTTTTATTTGACTCATTTTGCAGCTTTAGGGATATTATGCCCAAGCACTGTAAAACAACCCTAAACGCTGTAGGGACTGACTGATGTTGGTGTAAATTGAAAAGGTGCCTTGGAATACAACGCCTAGCAACAAACATTCCATAACATATGAGCCCTTTTGTCAAGCTTAAAACCCATATGCCACACATTAATATGACGTCTGCATTTTTTATGCAAAAAGCTTCAACAATCAACGGTGTAGAACTAGCATTTCTATAAATGAAAGCACAAAGTATCTTGATTGCAACTGGCTACCTGTATTTTTGTCAAACATATGCTCTCAGTCCCTCTGAATCTATCTGTCTCTCATCACTTTTCCAATGCTGGTGACTCTTTTCTTCAATATGATGAACACTGCTGTAATTAAATTCCGTCCCCATGGCTTCAGTCAAACAGTGGAAAGATGCCCATCACCTGTGTCTGGCCACCCTCTCCCGACACTGCCGTCCCTGCCTGAATAAACCCATCTCAAACATCAACGACTGACTGTGCATTAATTTTCATGCTATTGATTAATAGCAGAAAAGCCAACAGACATGAACGTCACATCTTTGTTGCAGTCCTTTGGGAATATTGCATGTGCACTGGGAAGAACGAGCAATATTTTATAATGAAAAGCAAGTGGCAGTGGTGGTGAGGTGAGTCTCATTTGCATGTAAAGTGCTTTGGGTGTCTACAAAAGCTCAATACAGATGCTATGACTAATTTATTCAAATTTCATAAGTTTAATCAATACTTCGCCAATGAGTCCAGCAGACAGTGCGGGATGGCTTTGAGAGGACGCATATAGAGGTGAGTGTGCGTCTGATGAATTGTGATCCAGCAAATAAACTTCTGTGGATGAGGATTCAATTGCCCGTATGTCACAGCAACCCAGCTAGAAGCGCACGGGGTTGTCGCATCTCCGCTAACTAAAATAAAATATGCTACATCTCCGTACCCCCCACAACCCTGCACACGCTGCACTGTTCATATTTCATCCACACTGTAAAGTTTCCTTCCACCCACTGGGTATGAGATTAAAATGCAGAGATGGTCGG